GCATCTAGATCTTGTAGTTAGGTTTCCTCAATTTTCTGTGTGGAGTCTTTGTCGAATAGGAGATCCCATTTGTAACTGTAACTTTTTATACGCCTTTGGCTTTGCATACAAATAGACCACTTTCAAGCTTTTTACCCTTTCTAGACAAGCAGTGGAAGGAGTCGGACAAAGTTTCCCAGTCTTTTTCTTCCCACTCTATTGTCCTACTCCTCACTCGAGTACCCTTTGAGTTCTTCTTTGAGAGAATGTTTGTTTTTACCAGATGGAGAAAGTATGTTGCCTCTATTTAGAGCGAAACCTCTTGAAAAGCTCACTCGAGCTTTGGCTTTCATTTAACGAAAGTGGCGTACTAAGTAAATTATTTTCTCTACAACCACCTGAAAAAAATATTTGTGGTAAACTGTACCCTATGAATAGGTTCTCTAGGCGTTATTATGTCCCACATTTCAGTCCACATCCCTCTTTACACTCTAGGGTGGTAAAGTAACACTTTAGCGCAAGCTATGTATGAATTAATTTACGTTAACGCAATTTGGCGATTACGGGAACTGTCCCTGTTTGTTTATTAGCAATGTCGCAATTATCAATAATATAGTAGTAGGGTCAATTTACTTTTATTTAATACAGCTTAAAAACCGTTCAACTTTGTACTCTTTAGTCAGTCGTAGATATGCAATTTAGATATTATCTGAGATGAAATGAGATGCCGTAGCGTCACCTACAATAATTTGTCATAACTACCTTTCTCCTCTCCGCAATCATTAGAACTCTAATTTGAAAAGGCTAGAGCCTCGTAGATTACTCTGACAGGATTTCGTCTAGGGGAAGCGCAAACGATATTTGGGGCTGGTCATTTTTTAACCTCAGTGGAACTTCTAGAATTTATCCTTAAATCCCTTGTGTTCTATATGTGCAAGGCCAGCTTGAGAAAAAAACATGGAAATTGCTCAGAAATCCTCAGAAAGACAATATTTTATTATATGAGAACAAAATAAGTACGTGGCATTTAAAATTAACTAGTGTAATAATATTAAAGGTTCAAACATAAAAAACAAACATGAGACCAAAAAATTCACATTATCGTATAGACGCTAGACAAGACAAAGAAGGATGTCTGTAGACCATCTATAGATCGTGTCTGGAGACCGTCTCCAGACTGAGCAATGGGATCTACTACTATGTAATAAGCTTAAGGATTAAGACTCTGAACTGCCCATTAAACAAATCAAGTAAATGGTGCAAATACTGACACAATCAAGCACTTCTATTATATCAGCAGTATGAGGCATGTATTCCTCCATTCTGACGTTTCGGTTATCGAAGTGAAGCAGACATTTCTCCAAGGAAAGGTAGCGAAGAAGTCTCTCAGCCCCTCCCAGTCGGCATGTCCGTAATGCCAAATTTTGCGGCATGCGCGAGTTTCTGCTGAAACAGCGGGTTCTGACCGAAACCTAACCTCCACAACACAGTGGTCTGAGTTACCCAGGGGAGACAGGACAGCAGAGCTGTAAGGGATGCGTGGTCAGAAAGAGATCCAGCAGGATACTGGCATGTGACGAGACGCGGAGCAAAAAGTAGGGCCCGTCACCAGCTGGGTCAGCCCTTGAGTAAGAGCGAACGCTTTAACTGCACGACCTGCTGCATCGGTCTTGTTTGAGCCCGACCAATACAAAGCAAATTATGGTCATTGAAATCACCGAGGAGAACTACCTCTGAAGCGGAGTGATTGATGTTCAGGAAGTCGATCTTGAAGGCGAGGTATTCAAGGTCATCCCAGTTATTGTACGAGCGGAGCGATAAAGGCAGCAAATAAATTTGGGGGATGTTTTGGAGTTGAGGCGAAGCCACAGAATGTCGTTCCGGTCTGATTCCAGAGAATCATCTCTGCAGCAAGAAAGACTGCTTCGCACAAAGGCCACGAACTCCCCCGTTCTTTCTCAGATTAGAGTGCACCTCGTAATTTGGTAAGCTAAGATGGTTAGTCGGAGCGGACTCTGAGATTTTTGTCTCCGCGAAGAAAAGCATGGCGGGACGGTTGGATTGCAAGTAGTAATGAACAGCATCAATGTTGCTGTTAATCCCGCAGATGTTCGTGAAACAAATTTTATCTTCGATGTTGTTCCCTCGAGTCCACCCTCCACCCAGACATTCTGAGAGTGGAGTGAGCTTACATCTGGAATTCTTAGTACTCGAGGGATCCATCATCATTAATTTATTTGTTTTGGAAGATAACCGACTGCATAGCTTAGGTGTGGAAACATGCGGACATTTATAAGACACCCTGGGAAAAGCTATAGGGTGGTACCGCCTCGGTCGACTGGTCCTTGTCTACCACCTTCTTTTTGCTTGTCAATGATATTAAATAGAGCTAAAGTGGCCCGTTGGCGGACTTGTACCGCCACCCGGCAATCGGTACTGATGTATTCCTTAACCCGTGTACAATCACTTGTGCGGGAGGAAGTTGTATGCTGGATACAACAACTTCCGGAACAAGCATTTGCCACGGCCCCGCTCAGTAGGGGTTGGGGTTTTTGAAATTCAATGTAGATTTTACAGTTATTTTTCAGACTTTCGTTGTCGAACTTAGGTTTACGGCATAGTTGTTTTTTCAGTTTTCGAACCGGTGTTGATCGCATGTAGAAATGATGGAAATAAAACTATACCTGTTAGATTGTAATTATTTTGATAATGTATGTTTGTATTAAACAAGTACAGGAATACAGGGCTGTACATATTCACGTATAAGGCAGCAGCTCTATGATTTAAACGAATTCAATATAGCAACTTAAATAGACACATATGTAAATACGCGAGAAGAGATGTGGCATTGATTTTGAGCATCGATCGACGCAGTTTCTAGACAGGCCACAAGCGCACCGCTAAGCAAATCTTCGCTGCAATGCCAACCCCGAACAAAATCAGTCAAGCTTTACACACTTTTCAAATTACTATTGAGCAACAAACAGAACATAAATCACTTCTTAAGTGCAATCTCTATAGCTAATATATTACCCAGACTTACATTTGTCACACGTCACAATACTCGTATATACGTATAAATCGTAAGAATTGAGCTGTAAACAAGTGATGTCAAAGAGGGACAGCATTTGGAATAACAAAGGATACCAAAAAATCATAATGCTCAGTTCTTATAGCTATAACTTATAGTTAGTATGCCTCCGTCACCATGATGTGACAGAAAGTAACACAATGGTGTTAGATTGCAAAAGCAAATGTCAGACGTCTAGGGGGGGGGGGCGCGTCCCCTGCGCCACCCTCTAAATCCGCCAGTGTGTCACTGCATGCTTTTGTATTGTTGGCTACAGCATCATCCATGATACACCGACCCTTTTTAAATTAGATTCATAATTATTGCGGAGAGGAGACGGACAAATGCTCCTAGGCGATGCTAAGGTATCTCCACTGAGAAAACGTGGCCAAACAGTTGTTTTGAAAAATTTCAATTACTTATATAATTATTTTTTTAATCATTCTAAACAACTAAATTATTTGGTTCAATTAAACTGAATTTTATGGAACCAGTTTAACTGAAAGTAATGTACTATTAAACTAATTTGCTTAAATATAGCAAACCATGTACTACTTATATTAAACTAATAAAGGCAATTTAGTTTATGTTCAAAACAATTACACATTTTAATAGAACCAGTTAAACTGTTTAATTGAATCGCGAACTCGGCAGGACTCTGTTCTTCATTCGTGAATGATCCGGTGTATGTGACAGCCGCAGTGCCGGTGACGCCTAGAGGCCCATAACCCTGCTGACGTGATGGAATAGGAAAAACTTTGAAATTTTATTTATGCAGCCATATTTAGGTCAATGAAGGGCATCTTATACCAACCATGTGCTTAAAATTGGCTTGATATTTTATACTGTATAATGTATATATAGACTTTGTAGTATTTGAAAATATCCTAGTTTGATTAAAATGATATCGAATTTATTTATATATGTAAATTCGTTGAATGCGGGTGCGTGCAGTATAGTTTTATTATTAAAAATAAATGTACAATTTTTGTACATATAATCAAGTGGCCTTGTTCAGTTTTACATTTCCTTTTCCCTACTTTCTGAATTTAAAACTAAGAACTCCTTCTACTGAATAGTATAATATGGACAAATAGGCAAATAGTTGGTGAAGCTTAATCCCATTACAATTAGTTGACAATTAATGAGAAATATCGAATTTCGTTAGGGCTATAAAATTCGGAAGCCTTTATTTCGATTCGAACACATCAACTATCAGTATCAACTTTTCCAACTTTCATACATCTGTGATAAGAATTCATCATACAGGAAAATTCAATTTATTATTTTACATTCCACATATTATCCAAACGTCCTTTTACATCTCAATAAAACAGGTCATTAAAACTTAGCACTTTTACCTAAACTAGGTATATAAACAAATTTAACAAACATATTTAAATTGTTTTACTTGCTGCAGGTCAACTCATTTTGACAGTTCATTCATCTTAAATAAATTGGTGTCATCAACCCAAATAAACGTCTTAATAAATTTAATTAAACGCTTACGTTTTGGTTTACTTGAACTAGTTTCATACATTCAAGTAAACCGTCTCAGAAATCGGAGTTTAATTTAACTAATTAAATTTGTTAGCTGTCACGAGATTGTTTAAATTTTTTAATTGGCCTAATTAAATTTTTAATTGATTTAACCGATTTTTTCTAGGTGTAGGATTATTTTTCGAACGTGGGAGTAAAGCATTAGGTTGACTATCTTCAGTTAGAATAAAAATCAATGATACTTCATGACATGAGCTCATACCATAAGAAAAAACACATCACTCATTATCTTTGGTCTGTCAAGATAAGCGCGTCATTATTTGCATTTTATAGTTTCTGACAAGCTCCAATTCCTCTATAGCAGTAACAGTACTGTTATTTTATGGTCAAATCAGAAGGAAGTCTGAAATACCCAGAAACATTTTATCGAAGTGAAAAAATAACTCCTCACCTCCCCACACCTCAAATTCACCGGTCGATGCCTCAATCCAGTCCCGCCTACTGCATTAGCTCCGCCCCTTTCTTCTCCTCCTTCTTCGTCCTTGGCCACCTGAGCCGCAACCGGCTGCGTGCGTTGTTGCCGGATGTACTCGTAAGTCGTCAGACCCAAGAAACTGATGTAAATGTGGAAGAAGCACAGGTGAAGTAGAAGCCCTGCGGTGATAGCTGCTAGGAGGCCCAACGCAGCCACCACTGCTAGAAAAGCAGCGTCGCTAGATGGTAGAGAAGAGGAGGGAGGTAGGGTACTTGTTCCGGATGAAGTGGTGTTGGATGGATCAAAGAAGCCGCTTATTGGGTCCTGGAACAAATGAAAAGGGTCTTTATTGCTTTAATGAATGTATAGGGGAGTGGAGATCTCTTTTGTTGACGTTAGCTAGATCAGAAACACAAACTGCGACAGTTTAAGACCTATTGGACAATTGGACACCGCTTTGTTTAGAGGATCTTCCTCGGCTCGATACCACTGCTTTCAAAAGCAGAACTTATTCAGCGACGTTAACTGTTTCGCCTTCTTAAGCGTATAAAACAAAAATGGCCCTTTCAGGTATAATCTACTACCATGGACACCAATCTAATCCAATTGTACCTTAAAGTGTGCGTATTTAGTATGATTTTGTATATAGTGTGTGGACTTTTATTATTGGGCACCCTCTGATGGCGATGTTTGACTCGCCCTGCCTGAAAGGCCGAAATAGGGTGAATCTCACTGCAACGATATTTGTATAAGGTTCATTTTCTATTACAGATATTGGATCTATAAGCACCTTTGTATCCCATCAGCGGAACGCTATGGAAGTATGTCTCTGTTTGCTTTCCAGTGTACAACTCTATTGGCGCCCGCCGCCGAGAAACCGGTTGAACACTAAATTTTGCATAATTAGTAGATATGATTTTCTGTACAATTTTAGGATATTTTGGGATTGAGCTCCGCTGAGAAAATTTGCCTAAAAAATGTTGGGGCAGATACAATTCGGGTCTTCAAAAATTTTTGGGCACAGGTACACTTTCACAAAGAGTTATCGCTTTCCGATGACGGCTCTTCCCGAAATCAATTTCTGCGATGAACTCACTGCCGAGGAAATGATTCCTCTGTTCATTGTCACTCTAGGTATATGAAGTAGGATGGTTGATTTGGATGAAACTCAATTAGCAAAAAGCCTTTTAATTGTCTAATAAACTGAGCTATAAACAGAATATACGTAGATGCCGCGCGTAAAACTGTAAAGCCAGTTGTTGCATGCTCCATAGACCACAAGCCACGCCTTGTTTAGGGTGCGGGCATGAGATATGATAACGACTGAGTACAAAACCGCTGTTAAAGGCACATTGCCAAATTAGATAAGTTTATTCGTGGGAAGTCGGTGCTATATTTATAGTATATCATTAGCAGACGATATTCTTTGAATTTAGCACAAGGATGAAGAAAAAAAAATGGTGCCAATTAGGTTGACCCTATGCTTCCAACGCAACGCTATAATGTTCGGCATGATTTAGCTCTCATGAGAAAAAAGTTAGCTACGAACATGTATAACAAATAATTAATTAGGTCAAGTCAGTTAAAAATGCTTATACAATCAAATCTTTCATATACTTGTAATGTCACGTATTCCTGTTAAGGGGTGATAGATTAGGTCAAAAGCAACCGATTTTGTCCTATAATGTCCTATCCAGAAGTTAACGGTTTTTGAGTTATTTGAATTTTATTTTTTATTCCGATTTCGGACGGTTAAATTTGAAATACAAGAAAACTACATGTTTGATTTTGGGTTTTTTGTTATCGTCGCATAGCGGACATTCGAATAGTTCATAATAAGTAATAAAATGTTGAAAACTTACAAAAGTTTTAAAATTACGCTTTTGAAATGTATGATTTTCTTATTTTTTTACTAACTTATTCGATAAAAAATGCAATTTTCTGTAAAAAATCTCCTAGTAATGAAATGTGCAAATTACGTCAATAATACCTCTATCTAACAAGCTTTCATTTGAGGTATAAAAGTTACAACTAACTCAAGTACAAAGACATAAAATTAAAAAAAAGATGAGTAAAGTTGTACGAACGATATTTACGTAGGATAAATAAAAGGCTTTTATTTTAATTACAGTTTTATTTAATTTCATTTCCTTTAGTATTTTACAGATTCTGCTCAAATTGTAATCCCCTGTTACGAATACACGCCCGCATTCCCTTACGTAATTCACTTTTGGTAACTCTAGTTGTTGAGCGGCTTTTTATTTGGTCAGCTGCACTGATTATCCTTGTAATTAATTCATCGCGCGTTGGTACGGGCGAAACATCGTACACCAGGCTTTTAACATGTCCCCACATATAGTAATCCATCGGTGTGAGATCTGGGCTTCTTGCTGGCCAGGCAATGGGCCTGCCTCTGCCAATCCATTGATTTGGAAATTTAGAGTCTAAATACGCCCGTACTAATCTACTGTAGTGTGCGGGACAGCCGTCGTACTGGAACCGCATATTTTGTCTCCTCGCCAATGTTACGTCTTCCATTAATGGAAACAAGTGATTTTTCAAGAACTCTTTATACACTTCTCCATTGAAATTGGCGGGCAGAAAATGAGGTCCAATTAAATATCCATCAATGATGCCCATCCACAGATTGACTGAAAACCGGCTCTCAGACCCTGTCGGTCTTATTTTTCGGGCGTTTAAAGCTTCTTTATCAGCCCACTGATCCCGTCCTTATCAAACTTCGATTCATCGGTCCACAGAATTTTCTTAAAATAGTCTGGATCTTCCGTATCTGCATGTAACATGTACCTGCAGAAATCTAATCGTCTTGCAGGATCGCCCTCTTCAATCACATGCACAGGCGTGTAGTGATAAGGGTATAATCTTGCAGTATGCACAGTAAACCATACTTTGTATTGTGATATACCCAACTGAGCAGCCACAATGCGCGTAGACGTAGTAGGGTCTTCCTGAAACACACGAAGGATTTCCTCTTCATCTTCAGGAGGATAGACTCGGGGTCGACCAGCATCACTATGTTTCCTTTGAACACGTCCGGTTTGGCGGATGCGCCGATACACAGAGTCAAACACAGTAACATGAGGTGTTCGGCGATTCGGGAAACGTTGCCGATATTGACGGCGAGCAGCTGCAGAATCGCCGTTACAAAGTCCATAACAGAACATTATGTCTGCGTATTCTGCATTTGTAAAAGTTTGCCCGTGCTCGCTATGGCGAGGTCCTGGCGGATCTTCTGCGTCTGCCATGATGATAAAGAAACCACTCAAAATAAACTGGGAAACTCGAAAATAATAATCGTGCGTAAAACGTGTGCGCGTACGCAGTAGTTGATACCAACTAAACCTAATTCTCACTCGGCGTGCGGCTATGGCGCAACTACAATGATGAATAATAACAGCTCTCTCTCTCTCACTCCTCCACTAAGTCAGCTCTTCTCGCTCGCTTCCTCGTCGAGCCGATGCCATAAAACAATCATAGCATGCGAGTCCCTTGAGGACAGTAACGACTTGTTCAAACAGGTAATACTAATTCCTTAAAAATCCAGCCTCTGTGGGTGTCAATGTTGTTTCTCTGCATGTACTTCAGATAATTGAACGCTTAATACCTCAAATGAAAGCTTATTAGATAGATATATTATTTACATAATTTGCACATTTCATTACTAGGAGATTTTTTACAGAAAATTGCATTTTTTATCGAATAAGTTAGTAAAAAAGAAAATGATACATTTAAAAAGCGTAATTTTAAAACGTTTGTAGCTTTTCAACATTTTATTACTTATTATGAACTATTGGAATGTCTGCTATGCGACGATAACAAAAAACTCAAAATCAAGCATGCAGTTTTTTTGTATTTCAATTTTAACCGTCTGAAGTCGGAATAAAAAATAAAAAACTTAAAATTCAAATAACCCAAAAATGGTTAACTTTTGGATAAGACATGATAGGAGAAAATCGGTTGCTTTTGACCTAATCTATCACCCCTTAACAGAAATACGTGACATTACAAGTCACCCTGTATAGCATGCTTTTGTGTACAATCTTGTGGCTTTTCAAGATTTTCCCCCTCTCCCTGAGAAATGTGCTACTTTCCGCTCTTCAAGAATTTAAGGAGACAAGTACGCCTTCACACAAAATTATCTCCTGCCGAAGAATGACCTGATAATATTCCTATGGGCGCACATGGTTAGTTTTTGCCCCGTAACTGCGGCGCCACTAGATCGATTTTCAAAAAGTACAAAGCTTTTTCGTTCTTGGCATAGAAGTAACCTTCTAGAAAAATGTCATCCAAATGCGAACGGTACTTCCCAAGTTATAAACAAGCCAAGGACTAGCGAACAGACAGACAGAAAGACAGATAGACTGGCCGATGGAAGTTATTGACATACATTTTCGTGATGTACATGTCATATAACAACCAAAACAGATATCTCATTTGCAATTTTTTTGCGATTACGTACAATACTTCTCCGTCAGTAGGCCTGGGAAGTACAAATACCACGCAGAAATCCAGACACAATAGAGCTACACCGTAAGCTTTACATTTTATTATTAATAGCATTGCTCAATATCAACAGTATTCATACAACTATTCAGAATTGTTTAATTTGGATTTTAGTTATTGATGTTGGTAATTCTCGAATGTTCCTTGCTGCATTTGTATTATAAAAACAAATTTTGTTTTACGTCGACTGGGAATGCTTCAAAAACCAAGCTAAAATTGCTGCGCATCCACTTCAGTGGAAATAGCTACAGAATCTGTTAATGGCGAGTAGACAATGTCCACTATACCGCCAGAACCGTGAGCCTTTAGCGGTCACAGTGGTGACTGGGCTATCAAACGCAAGCTGAGATAGTCACAGTTCCAGCAGATAGCTGTTATAACTTCTCGCAGTGGTCTGTTATTGTAATAGATGGCGCTTTGCGCTATCTTATTTCGATATATCTCATACGTCGTACACAGGATAGTTGCTATGCTTTCAAACGCTGCCCCAGAGACCAAGCCTAGATCATGCTGATGAGTTGTCAAAAAGTACGAAACAAATGTCCATGGTTGGCCGTCTAAAAAAGAAGGCATGCAAATGAAGTACTAACCAGCAAGTTAGCAAATAGTAAGTACTGGCACATACATATTTTGTAACGAAAACACCGTTATTGTTGTTCAAAGTATAATGTATTACTCACTACTAATTTACTACTACAACGCTAATTTATCACAACCCAGACCCCCTCTGCCTCGATTGATAATTTTGCAAATATTTTCTGACTATAACAAAATCACGCAACGAGACGGAAGATTTATTG